TCATCAACATCAACAGTAGTATCATCCACCTCATCCCCAATGAGGAGGACTGCCATATCTAAGGCAATATCCTCTTTCTTGCATAGGGCCCTAGCTGGCTCTAACAAGTTTGCTTTATATTCGGCCATTATATACTACAAAATAACCTTCACTGGTACTGGCTCCCGAAAACAAGTGAAATAAAAAATTGCATGTAAAATTGAACGAAAAAAATAATTTAGCTTATAAACATTGAGTAACTGTATTATTCAAAGCATAAGTCCTGGCAAGGTCGCCATTTGTAACACCAGGTTCGTGCTTCAATATCATGCATACAGTCAACAAAGGAATATAAAGACAATAGTAATTGATTTACTGTTTCACCTTTAATCTGCTTATCCGAAGGGTGGATAAAGCTAAGGCATGAGATATACTTTTACAGATAATCAAATAACAAACATAATATACTTAAGGGCCCACTACAATTTATATTAATAAGACCGGTCGTTTATAAAGAAGAAGAAGATTGTCCGCTCATCAACGAATATGGTACGTTGCTATCAAGCGCGTATTGTTGGAGAACAATAATTAATTCAGGATAGCGTTCCCTATAGGATCATTGCTGCATAGCGTTCATATAAGTCGATTTAAATATGGAGGCTGTTATCCAATGGACAGGGTTGATATGGGATGGAGTTGCGTGATCTCTTCAAGAAAGCCGAAGATTCGTTTCTCCGCAGTGAAGGGCTATAAAAGGGAGGTTAATAAAACAAAGCAAGTATACTGGGCATACATTAATATAACAAAACCACATAACAACTGAACTGGACAGAGATACCCTTTTATGACGTTGACGCCCTCAGTAGCAGGCTGACTACCGATTTGACCAGACCAACGCCAGAATTCACATATTAGTTTGGATAATAACAATATGTAAAAGAGACATAATAATGTAACAACAAAACATAAACTAATCTCTTTCCAATTCAGTGTTTCACAAGAGTGGCAAACAATGCATTAATTGTTCAAAGGCAGTCGCATAATAAGGCGAAACATAGTTAATAAACATAGTCAAAGATATAAGAGAAAGCAATATATGAAGAGTATAAAATTCCTCTCAAGCAGAAGCATGTAGTATAGTACATGTACATGTACTAAAACAATCAAATCCTTTCTTTACACAGACTTTTCCTTCTGTGTCCTACCAGGGACTTGTCCCTGGTCCTACTGACCAACTGGCATCTAGTCTAGGTCATTCAGACCCTGTATGCCTAGCTTCTCCAAATCAGGATAATTATATCTAATACTGTATTAACAAGGGCTGCTCTTAACAAACAGTTATGTACGTATAATACAACTATACTCCACAGGAGATGTACTATTATGCCCATGCATTGACCGACATAACTCTCACTCAAGAGACTATAAACAAGGTAATAAACAGGTCTTCAGAGAATGTGCTAAGACTATGTAGTGAATCACAAGTTCCCTACATTGACAAATCATCTGACAGAGAATGGGAATTTAGATGATATAACCAAGTTTTAAGAAGTGAAATACATTTATCTAGCAATATACAAATACATACATATATATATACATCACTCTAGATTAAGAATGAGAATGTGAGAATTAGTAGTGAGAATATCATTCTCTTACCTATAAAAGGGAGCCAGCACCAGTATACGTCTTCCCCTCACAATGTTCAGAAGCAAAAGAGAATGACCACATGTTTGCAATGTCCAGATAAGCGGACTAAAGATAACATTCCAAGGAGAGAGGTGGTCAGAGAAGAGAGAGTGGAGGATAGAGAAGCCTATAGGGTTATGTGCATAATAGGTGTATATCCCCACACAGTAGAGAGAGGGGAAAGGAATCGGAGAGAGATGAGAGAGAGAGAGAGAGAGAGGGCAACTGTAGTTAAATGAATCAATGCTGAGGGAATGATGGCCATACTATATAGTCACACTTTATGGGTGTTACATGAACATGATTATTTATCTTTTGTTAGTCAATCAAATTTCTAGGCAGTTTATAACGCTAAACACCCTAAACAAGTGTAATACATAGTTTAGGTCAAGGTGTGGTTCTATTATGCTATTCAGAGCTTGATGACTTGTTAAATATATCAGTCCATATCAGTTTGATGTTAGCAGCATTAGCCTTTTGGGATAATTAATGATACTGGAATCAGAAACCAACTTCATTTATGATATGCATTAACTGAAATTGATTGATGGATGGAAAAGCATGAAGAATGTAATAACATGGGGAGAAAACACAAAAATATGGGTGTATATTTCATTTGGTTCATGTAGATATTAAAAGTTAATCTAACTATAACTGAATTAAATTAATAATATATATATATATATATAAATATATAATAAAAGAGTAGAGATATTGATTACATATTGTGAACAATATAGTTCTTGATAGACAAGTGTGAATGTATATCATGCTAGCCTTGACATGTATATTAACTTTGAGTGTGATGTCAGGTGTCAAAATAAAAAAAGCACATACCTGAGCATTGTCAGAAGTGTCAAAAATAATAAATAAGCTTTGGGTTGCCCCAACTACCAAATTTGATTGGAGTAAATATAGAGCTACATTTACAATGTAGTCAATTATCCTGATGGATTCATACACAGTCAGAGGAAGGGGATGACTATCCTCATGCGAATTCCTACTCTAATAGAAGTCCCAACTTCAACCCTGGACACAACATCATACCTAACCTTAAGCCTAAACCTAAACCCAAACTAAAACCCAAACTAAAACCCAAACTAAAACCCAACCTAAAACCCAACCTAAATCCCAACCTAAACCACAACACCAACCCTAACCTTACCAATATAATTTTTGACAAAATAATGCCCGGAGCAATCGCCACAGGGCGAACGCCGATCACAACAGCTTAAGTCCCACAGTGTGAACAGTGCCTTTGCATTCTTTTAACGAGCTGGCATAGCTCACTACTGATTCAGAAACATTTTGGTGTCGTTTACCGCTCAGGGCAGCCAGACTCACAGGCTATGGCACACTGCTACGATCCCTGATCTTGGACTTTGTTTTCTGCTCCCCACGCACGCCTATGGCAGGCAGGGGAGTTGTTTCTTGTCTTGTAGAAAACTGAGCCTTGTCAGAACAATTTTTTTGTTATGATACTTTTGGTTTAGAAACTATTGTGGTTTTATTTCACATTTCTTGTATTTTCATGGCTGATGATAGTATGTTTTGTCTACAAGCCAGAGTGGGGATTTATTCAGTGGTGTCCATTGGTGTAGAATTGTATCCAAATTCCTGTGCCATAAGATTTTATGAAGGCTTTGGTTTTGAAAGTTTAAAGTTCAAAGTTATTTGACATTGAACGTTTATCATACTTTCTAAAACATGAACAGGAAGGTCTTACATTCTTCTATTAAATTGATTACAAAAACTTCTTATGAATATCATTGGAATGAAAGATATTGTTTATCTAGTATCATGATTGTCCATTTTGCTTTGAAATCCATAATCATGGTATAATTAGTGAATGGGCAATTTTAATCTTCACCTTTATATTTCAGAGTTACCAATAATTATGAATAAAACAATGAGAGTTAGTGTGATAAATTAGTATTATGATGCATCAATACTACACATCTCTATGTAATTATGAATATTACAAATGAAAATATCAACATCACAATAATTGTTCTACTCCTAAGTTCTGACTAATTGTTAAACATGTCATCCATATAAGGCCTGTAGTTCAATATTTGCTTGAGATCCAAATTTCCCACTCAGCTGACCCTATCCTTCTGCCAAACCTAGCCCCAAACCTCTGCCAAAACACACAAGAGCTAGCTGTTCACAAGTTTCAGGAAATATTTGTAAACCCCTGCATGGAGGAGAACAAAACATGTTAGTGTGTTTGGTGGCTAGAGTGATTATTCGCTGACATATTTATGATGAGTGGACAGAAATATGCCTTCTCAAGTTGTTCCTCTGACTCTCTAGCCCCACAGTAGCATCCCAATCACCCTCTTGGGGCAGTTCATGGACACCTTATACCAGAGGAAACCATCCTGCCCTGTCCCTTCTGCACCAACAAGCCCTTAAATCATGGCTTCTCTGCAAGAAAAAAAGCATGTGGTTTTTTTGTGTGCAACACAACTCCATAAAAAGGGGACCGTCTGTGCCTGCATTTGTTTTGTAGGGAAGGTGCATGTTATGTTCGCTCTTTGAAGGATTGAAAGAATTTTACTTTCTGTATTAAACCAAGGAGTTACTACACTCCTTGATTAAACAGTGTTTTTTTTAATGATATACACTGTATGACGATTTTTCACTTGATTTGAAGAAATATTAGCTCTATGTCTATAATTCAGATTTTGTTGTTGGACATGATGATTTGTATCTTATATTAAGCAGTTTCAGAGGAAAAGGCTCTGTGTTAGTTTATCTGTTTCACTATTGGTACCAGTAGTTGTAAACTTTTTTCTAATCTCCATGAAATTGAAAAGGTATTATTGTCCTAAACAAGAGTTATTGAGTAATGTTGCTTGAATAATTAGGGCATGTTTTGAATGTTTTCAAGTGAGCCCGACAATCAAACCCACATTTCCAGGACAGTATGAACTTTTCAGAAATTAGAAAAGGGAAACAATCAAACTACAAGTATTCCTGATTCCTCTATGTAGCGTCAATGAACGTTTCTGTAGAAATGGTAGTCCGTAATTGTTCAGTACATGTTGGTATAAACCAATGGCTGATATTTTGAAAATACAAACTGCATTCATCTCAAAAATCCATATTGAAATAAACAACTCACTTGTAATTTCAAAGTGATCATACACATTCACAGTAGAATGGACTTCATTCAGAGAGACAAATGCTTGTGAAATTGTGTAGGTCCTTTTGATTTTCATGCCTCTAATTTCATATATGATTGAATTGTGAATTGTAATTTATTTCCTTCTTTACTGCATATTGTAAATTTATATCTTCTAAATCTTTATTTCTGATTTCTTATTTTTCAGCTGAATTTGAGGATCTTTTGCAGTATGGAAAAGAGAGGATTCAACAGCATTTTAGGACATTGTATACAAGTATTGCCATCCACATGAACAGCCCTATAGAGGATTTATTCGGTTCTTTGATGGACTACCTCCATGGCATGGACGTAAACGTTGAGCACGCTGTATCAAGGTTCTTTGACACGCTCTTCCCGCACATCTATACCAGTCATATAAACAGCAAAGTTACGCGGTTGGACTCGCGGTATCGCGACTGCCTCTCGAACCAGGCGTCGGTGATCATGCCGTTTGGTTTTGCGCACCGGGACCTGGCCAGGATCCTGGAGAAGTCCTTGAAGGTAGCGAGGATGTTCCTGGGGACGGTCAACCTGGGTCTGGAGGTGCTGAACTCGACGGAGAACATGCCCTTGACCCGACGCTGCACCCGCGCCCTGATGCAGATGAGGTACTGCGGACAGTGCCAGTCTCTTGTCGGTGTGCCAGCCTGTCAGGGGTTCTGCTTCAATGTCATGAAAGGTTGCTTGGCCAACTTCATGGATCTGGATCTCTACTGGAGAGAATACGTTGCGGTGGTCGTTGACCTGGTCCGTGTTAGTATGACCGCTGAGTACGACCTCCATTCGGCCATGTACACTCTGGATCAGAAGGTTATGGCAGCCATCACGAGGGCCATAGAGGACAAAGATTCCATTATGCAAGCGGTAAGTTCAAAATGGTTTTGTTTATGATAGCAGGGCTTTGGGGTTTATCCATTATCCCACAGAGTACATGCATGCTACATATTTGATACAGTAGAATCCTGATTAGCCTCAAGTTTTTGGAAAATATGTTTATATTTTTTGTACTAGACTGAAGAGGCTACTATTTGAAGGAAAGAAAGTAATACACTCTGTGGAAATGAACATAGAGACCTATAGTCATTTTTGTAGTGATTTTAATTTCATCAAAGTCTACCTACATTCTACTTCTACCTGAAGACTCCTCAGCACTAGCATTTCATTTTCATTTGATTATTAGTCATATTTTTGAAGATTCTCCAAACCTCTATCTGTAACTTCCATCCTGTTCTTACAGGCGATGATCACTTGCGGGCCTCCACCCCTCTCAAGACCCTCCCCGTACAACGACTTTGCCATGAACAACCCTGCAGGAAACATCCCCATCGCTCCCAACCCAGCCATCCCCCTGGACGAGCTCTTACTGCAGTTTGTAGGAAGCCTGGACAGCTCAAAGAGTGTCTTCAGGGAGCTTCCCCTCCTCATGTGCTCCCAGGGCAACATGGCGTCTGACAGCAACCGAGACTGCTGGACCAGCGAAACGCAAGGAGTGTAAGTAGAATGCTCTGTACTTTTTAAATTGGGTGACCTTACATTTGCTCTGAAAATATTTGCTCTTCATTCCATCAAAAATAAAAGGTGAATAGTTAGTTAGATTTAGGGTTAGGGTTCAAGTTAGGGTTCAAATTAGGGTTCAAGCTAAGGGTTGGGGTTAAGGCTGGGTTGAGGTTAGGTATATATAATCTATAATCATATATCAAAATTATATCTAACGCATTACATTTATTAAAAAAATATATCTATAATATAAATGCTTGTAGATTTAAAGGGAGACAACAGCTTGTCTCTGTTTGACACATTTGATCTATAATTGTAGTTCTAAAGCAACTTTTTTTTTTCCAGTGAGAAACGCTTAGCCAAAATTGAAACAAAACAAATGAATGCCATCCAAGAGTACTTGAACTTTTGGTCCCATATACCGTTATTGCTGTTTGGAGCTTTACATGGTAAATGTGCAAAACATATTTGAACCCTGGGTTTATGGTGCAACAGGGAGTCAGACGATAAACCTATGGGAGCAGAGCCATGAGCTTTGGGGAATTCTCTTCACAAAAGATGAGATGAAAATACAAGCCAAAGTCCCTTTCTAATCCTCTGGTTTTTTCCCACATGCACCAGGGGGGCGTTTCACTAAACTTGTCATCAGTGACAAATGACAGTTTTTGTTATAAGCTACAGAAATCCTTGCTTCTGATTGGTTATCAGCAGATTTGTCACTTGTCATTGAAAAAAGGCTTTGTGAAACAGGTTCCTGAAATATGCTCAATAGGGGCATTTACACTGTAAGCAACAACCATCATTTTTTTTTTCATTCCGGAGGTCATAAACATGACTGAAAAAACCCTGAATAAAAAAAGCCACCTCTGGAGTGTTTTGGGGGGTGATAACTCTGCACCAGAAACACCACTTTTATTTCTCAGTGTAAATGCTCACTCTCAAAACACCAGTGAATTATTCCGGCATTTGGTCACGTGACTGTCCTTGTTTCTGTACTCTGCATGCAGAACAGCGACAAGTTGCCCATGTGTACAATTCACACTCACAAAATACAAAAATAATTATCCAACTCCAGTTTATCCAGTTTATCCAGTTTTTTCAGGGTTTTCCTGAGTGTAAATGGTTACTATGATAGTTCAAGAAACATGTTTTCAATACAATGTGAATGGGCCTATATTTGAGTACAACTTGCTCATGCACCAGAAATATATACTCCATGCAAAACGAGAAGAAAGATTCTGAAAGAAAAACCACAAGGGCCTTTCCGCTGATAGGCAATACCCTGCCTTTTGTGACAATTCTGAAAGGTCCCGAAGCTGAGCTTTTGTTGTTGTCGGGGATCAAATCTCTCCATTTCAACACGGGTCGTGAGAGGTGAACAGACCCAGTAATGATCTCCTCCATGCGCCTTTCACTCAACCACTGGTCTATGAAAATTAATTTCCCATATTGGAAAGGCAGGCAACTCGCCAGGGTGCTTATTTTTAATCCCCGCAGAAGCTCTCGCTTTTGAATGGAGGAGGCCTTTTAAGTTGATTTCATGAGCCGCACATTCACAGTGGAATGCTTATGGTTTGTTGTGGTCTTGTATTGACTGAATCCAGCTAAAAAGAAAACAGTTTCCTCTTTTTTTTTTTCTCAAAAGAGACATGGTAAGCTGTTGTGGTTGGGTGAATAGTCATACAACCTCACTAATTTGTAGCAGGGGTATTGTGAGTTAATGAGCGTCTGGTGGAATTTCAACTTGGGTTCAACTCGATCCTTTTCACTATTCTCTATAAAAGGATTTGAGTGGAAATAGTTTCATGTGGTTGTCATCAAACTTTTGCACTTTTTGGGGGCTTTGTTTGCTGCCAGGTGGGTTCGGATTGGGGGCAGGTGACTAAAACTAAAGTTTAAAAAGTTCTTCAAAGACAAGCAAAGATGATTAATCAAAGAATGTATCTCCCTTGACCACAAAACCAGACACAAAATAGTTTGATACAAATGTTTGCTTTGGTGTTGTTTGTCTTCCTCATGTAGGAGAGTAGAGTAGTCATAATATGGGTTTCACCACAGTTTGTGTAACCCTACATGCTTTGGTGACGGTTGCTCCACAGTGCATTTCGTACACTAACTGCATTCCTAGCTGCCTGTAACGCTTGACCTAACCCTAATCCTAAACCTAGCCCTAAACATGAACCTTACCTAAACCAAATGGCAGACCTACAACTGCGATAACAGTAAACCTACACCTTTGATGACGGAACTGCAAAGCAAACGTTGCATCACCAACTCTGTCATTGTCTCTAGGACTGCAAATCTCATGCTCAACTTCATTATACACAAGTCTCAATGCTATAATTCACTGTGATTCAGATGGAAGTGTGATGTTGTAAAACAGCTCTGCTGGTGGTGAAAAATGCTAGAAACATTTCGTTTTTTCGCATCAGCACTTTGGGAAGGGTAAATTTTAGTCAGTTATCTGATGGAGGGAGATCGCTAATGGTTTCTGAGCGCTCTGTAATTTCCGCTTTGACATAGTTGCAGATGTAAATTAATATTATCTGATGAAGGTAGCTCACCAACAGTTTCGGAGCAAGCTCATTTCCACTTTGAAATAGTTGTAAACTACATTAAGATTTTCCTGATACACTTCTTCTTGGCATTAATACCCAGGTGAAGCAGTTGATGAAAGACTTCCTTGCTTCGATTAAGGTATCGCTGTTGTCTGATAATAGCGGAATGACCGATGGGGGTATTGATAATGTTTGAGTGGTACTGTGGTCCTATTATACCCTTAAGGGTGGAAGTCTTCCAGTGTCAAGGATATTTTGGGACCCTGAGAAATCATCTAGTGATTACCTTGAGGGTTAGTTGCACTTCTTTCAGACTGTTCTGTTAGCGATGTCTCTGGATACTAGAGTGATCCGACATTTTGCTCTGGGCCTTATTTCATCAAAATGATAGGGTTGCCAAGTTGCAATTGGGTTCTACACAGAGTCCAGGCAACAGCGGTCCTGGGCTTCATTTCATTAAAGGTATAGAGTTGCTATTGGGTTTGGGGGTTAGGTTTAGGGTTTTGGGTTAGGTACCATGTTTGGTCCAGGGTTGTAGGGAATAACCGCTGAATACATGTCACAGGAGCATGAGTCTTTCAAGTGCAACTTATTTGGAGGCTGCATAACCATCCTACACCGGTAGATGTGGTCATGTAAGAGGTATGAAGTTTTAGATAATGAGTTAAGGCCTCAAGTTTGTCCGGTACTGCTACTTAAGGAACTTCCTCACATCCAATGGAAGAACAATAATTGTAGTAAAAAAGAAGCATGCAATTTTGCATTGTAGCTCGTACAGAGTCATCAAGGTTTATCGTAAGCAGATGCCTCTAAAACTATCAAGGTTTGACATTAAAAACAAGTTTCAATTATTGGTTGAAGCTTCTGATGTCATCACATTTGATTGGTTATAAGAAAATTTGTCATGGGTCTATGACGGTTGTCTCTGATAACACATTTTATGAAACAGGGCCCTAATGGAGTTGTGACTTTGAATTGTGGATTTGTACAAAGTAATCAAGTCCCTGGTCTAATGCAAATTCTTGCTTGACCGTCCAACCACTGATACTCTGTCCGAGACTGGTCAATTATTTGTAAAGGGATATTCTATCAAGTGTTCTTTTCAAACTTTCCAATCCAGAAGACAAAGGGGTCAAATGTAGACACGAAGGTCAAATCATTTCCAGAAATTGAATTGATTCGATTATTAGAATCGTTCGTACTTAAGATGAAGGCCAAATGTGTCATTAGGCTGAATGAACCACAGTCGAGAGAGGCGTCTATATTTCAAAGTGATTCTGATTATTTCTGTCATGAATAAAGGGCAATAGTTTAACAAACCCGATTGATATCAATCAATGAAATTAGACAAGAAAATTCTTGCTTTGTCATTGATGCATAAATGCTTTGGATTTGGCAGGAATCTCTCTTATTCATCAAACAATTTCCAAGCCAAGGTTTATAGCAAAATAGCTCTTAATCAAATAATATACAAATCAATCGAGTCATGACACTTTAAAAGCTTTTGATACATGCCTCTCGGAGTATATGAATAACTAAAAGGTTGACTAGCAATGCATCATGATATGCTGAAAACATATAATGGTACTGTCAACATTTTAAAAGTAAAACTGAAGGTTGCTGAACAGAGCTAGATTTCTCTGTATGTTTTTTAAGGAAAAGGTTTCAGGCAAGTTGATTGTTCTTCATTTACAAGAGAGACTTTTAATACCTCAATTTGTTTTAACTTGTTTTCTGATAACATTTTATGAACACGGCAACATGGAGAATATTTTGTTCATGCTTACATCTTGTTTAAGCAAATACTTCTGTATTTATAATATTGTTGTAAGATCATCACGTTTCAACAGGTATCTCATCAGCTCACAAAAATGTTGACTACCGTAGTGTACCAGTAATGAATTTTAGATCCTTTTTGTTTTAAACTTCTGACACTTTAACTTGTTAAAAATACAATAAATTAAAAATTAGAACCTTAAACTACCCCTAACTGTATTATAAACCTTTTCCAGCAATAAAAGTAAATAATGGCAGTTGATTCCAAATCTTTGATGTATTTATTAAAAAAGAAAGTATATCTCAAAGTATGTACTGCTTCCACTTTTAATTTAAATAGTCATCCAGCAAACTTGGGCATGATTCTTGAAAGTACAATGAAAGTAAATCAAAACATGATGGCGATCTTGACTTTTTTAACTGATTCCAAAGAAGAATTAGATATTAAATGAGCTCTCATTATCAAATCTTAACATCAGATATGTTTTCCTATCATCTTCTGGGTCTACTTCATCAGCCACATCTTATCTTGACTTGAAATAGATCAGCTCGGTAACCTTCTTTGATCTTGACTTTAGAAAACGACCAAAGCCTCTTCCTCTTCTTTTAGAACCATCCTTCTTACGGTTATTACAAATCTCTTAGCAGGCCCTGCCTAAT